TTGAGCCAGACCTGGCCTATATAATGCAGTCGAGATCTCAGTATCACCCTTCACATTAGTGCAGTTAAGTTATTTGTTTAGTCTTTCATAAAATAGTTCATTTGCATTTAATGTTAATAGTTCAAAGAATGACAGGCTGAATGGTCGGCCCCCACGCATTTTCACCTCACCAAATCTGGCCCTCCTTGCAAAAAGTTTGGACACCCCTGTGTTAAGAGAGATGATTGTCAGGACGTGATGGTCCTGAAACAGATACCATGGAGGATTAGAGAGGGACGAAAGAAATATCTATTCCTTACTACCAAACTCATCAAGAAAAAAGTTATCTTTAGGTGGCTAATACGAGAAGGAATATTTTTCACATGGAACTCTGTAAGATATAAATTGGATTCAGTTTTTAAAGCACAAGAGTTCTATAAGGAATTCAGAGCCATATTGAAAGAGGAGGATCCTGTTGTCTCTAAAGGAGAAAAAGGTGCCGAAGCAAGGGAAACAACAGCGTACCATTCTGAAGAAGGTGAAATACTGAGGGTTGATTCACAACAAGAAGTACAAACTTTGGAAAAAAAGGTAGACAAAGACAAGTAAAGACAAAGAATAAGTAGATAATTTTATTTAAATATGGCTCTTAAAAAGGAAGGGAAAATTGAATTGTTTTCCTTAAATGTTAATGGACTAAATGGACCATCTAAGAGAAGAAGGATTTTTGCTCAACTCCAAAAACGAAAGTTAGATATACTTTGTTTACAGGAAACACATATTAAGAAACGTGTTAAACTTCTGGAATGCTTAAAACTGGGAAAATTGTTTGTATCTTCTGCATCGCAAAAGAAAATAGGTTTACCATTATATGTTAAAGAAAAATTGGACTCTAAATATATTCTTGCTGATGAGGATGGTAGGATCTTGATGGTAGAAATTACAATTAAACTTTAAAAGGTGCTCTTAGTGGCAATATACGCATCAAATGACCATCAGGAAACTTTTTACCAAAAATTACATACATTACTTTTGCAAGTGGACTACCAGACTGTATGTGTAATGGGTTATTTTAATGCAATTGTGGATAAGGGAATTGATTACAAGAGTGAAAGTAAAGGAAAAAAGGGTAGGAGGATGCTTTCAAGGTCTTGTTCCAGCTTGACTGAAGAATTCAGATTGATAGATGCCGGGAGGCATAAAAACCCAACTTCAGCCAATTATTCTTTTTACTCAAACAGACATAGGTCATGGTCTAGAATTGATACGGTTTGGATAACTCCAGACTTAGTTCCAGATTTAATAGAAGCTGAAATGGAGACAAATTTTGGGCAGATCATAACCCTGTATCTATATCACTGAAAGGAGCTGCAAGGACACCCAGATGGAGCTTAGATAAAGCGTTACTAAAAGATAAAAAATTTACAGAAGAGATAAGCAAAGAAATGCAAATATTCTTTCAAATAAATAAAGCGGAAGAAACTTCTTTACAGAATGTCTGGGATACAGCTAAAGCCTATGTCAGTGGACTGATAATAACTTACTCAGCAAAAATAAATAAAAAGAAAAAGCAAGAGTGAACAACATTAGTAGAAGAATTGAGGACACAGGAACAAGAACTGCAGGAGGATCCAACAAAAAGAAACCTTAGGGTCCAAATGAATACTTTAAAGCATGAATTGAATTTCTTGGATACAAATGAAATTACTAAGCAAATGAAATTGGCCAAACAGAATTTTTTTGAAAATGCTAATAAACCGGGGAGATGGCTAGCATATAAAGTAAAAAAAGAAAGAGAGAAGAGACTGATTTTGAAACTGAAAGACGGAGAAGGATGACTACAGGTACAAAATACACAAATCAAGAAAATAGCTGAAGACTTTTTCTCAAGGTTATACCAGGAGGAGGAGATTCGGATCAAGAAGGCTAAAGAATACATTCAAAAGGGAGACTTACCAAAACTACCAGAAAAGTATCAAAAATTATTGAATCAAGAAGTAACAACTATGAAAATAACAGAAGCAATTATGCGACAAAAGAACGATAAAACCCCTGGTCCAGATGGGCTACCAGCTGAATTTTATAAATCTTTTGAGGGAGTTTTTGCTACATTTTTAAAGATATATGTAATGAAGCACTGTTAAATGCTAAAATACCAGCTACTTGGACAGAGGCAAATATCACATTAATACCGAAAGAAGATGTGGACTTAACACAGATTCAAAATTATAGACCTATATCATTACTAAATGTGGATTATAAATTTTTTGCCTCTATACTGGCAGAAAGGTTGAAGAAGTTTTTAATAGACTTTATTCACCCAGACCAAAATGGTTTCCTGCCTAAAAGCCAAATGAAGAACAATCTGAACAATCTTGGATATCCTAGAATACTACGAGACACACACGGAAAAATCAATGGCTCTGCTGTTTTTGGATGCCCAGAAAGCCTTTGATAATGTTAATTGGCAATTCATGAAGCAACAGATGGCTCAAATGGAGTTCGGGGGGAAATTCATGAATGCGATATCAAGCTTCTATCGGCCAGGATTTTAATTAATGGAGAACTTACAAGGGCTATAGAGATACAAAAGGGTACAAGGCAAGGATGCCCGTTGTCACCCCTATTGTTCATTCTGACTTTAGAGGTTTTGGATAGAAATGTCAGGGATGACGAGAACATTAAGGGTACTAAATTTAGAGACAAAAATTATAAATTGCAAGCATTCGCAGATGATTTGGTCTTCATAACAGAGGAACCTTTTGTAACAATCCCTAAATTTTTACAACGGATTGAAGAATATGGTGAGGTTACGGGGATGAAAATAAATAAAGAAAAAATGAAACTTTTAGTTAAAAATCTTATGCAAGATCAGAAAAAAAGACTCCAAGGACAAGTGGACTTGCAGATTGTTAAAAGGGTTAAATACTTGGGAATCTATCTTACAGCTAAATGTACAACTTTAGACAAATATGATAAATTATTGAAGGGTATTAAAGGTGACCTGGAAAAATGGGCCAATTTACAATTGTCTTTGATGGGAAGAATAGCACTTGTTAAAATGAACATACTACCAAAACTTTTGTTTTTGTTCCAAATGATTCCCATAAAAATTGATTAAAAAAATTTTGAGGATTTAAATCTTCAAATTTCAAGATTTATTTGGAGAAAAAAGAAATCAAGGATTACATTTAAAATGCTTCAAGAAACCAAAAAGAACAGGGGTTTTGGTCTTCCTGATCGGATGTTGTATTATTAAGCGTCTATTTTAACTTGGCTAAAAGAATGGATAACTTTGCGAAATAAGAGAATTTTGTATCTTGAGGGTCATGATTTGCAAATGGGTTGGCATGCTTATATGTGGTACGAGAAGGTTAAGTCTCATGGGACTTTTTTAAGTCACTTTATTAGAAGATCATTAATATCAGTGTGGGAAAAGTTAAAGTCAAAATTGTATAATAAATTACCAAGATGGCTTTCACCTATGGAAGCTTTTGTGTATCCAAATGTATTGAAGTTTGAAGGGATCATAAGATTTGATGATATTTTGGACAAGGATGGAGGCCTGAAACTAGATCAAGAAATACAAGAACAGGGACTCAATATCTCGTGGTGGTATAAGGTGCAGATGCAATCAAGATATGCTAAAGATTGTAAAATATGGGGGTTTTATAAAGACCTAATAGCCTTTGATCAAGTGATGCTAAAAACAGATGAGAAAATGATTAAAAGAATTTATGAGTTCTTACTTGGCAGGAAAATGGAAGGGGAACAGGTCAAGGAAACTATGATAACATGGGCACAAAATTTTGGATATAATATTGAATTAGAAAAGTGGCAAAAGCTATGGGAGAGAAACATTAAGGTAACTTTAGCAACTTCGTATAAAGAAAATTTATATAGAATGTTTTATAGATGGTATTTGTCGCCAAGTCGATTAGCTAAGATGTTTCCAAATATGTCAAACAGATGTTGGAAATGTAATCATGAGCTACTTTTTACCATATGTGGTGGACCTGTGAATATGTGAAAAAGTATTGGATTAAAATACATAAATGGCTTGAGAAAATGCTACAAAAACCCTTAGCCTTTAAACCTGAAATTTTCTTGTTGGGCATTATACCAGAAAATATTAGCAAACAAGAAATGTATTTGATGCTACATTTAATCACAGCGGTGAGGATTGCACTTGCTCAATACTGGAAGAGTGAGGAATTATCCACTGAGGAACTGATTTTAAAAAAGATTTTGGACTGTGCAGAAATGGACAGATTGACTCTATTACTGAAGGAGAAAGAAGATACTGACTTCTATCAAACTTGGAACCTTTTTTATGATTGGCTGGAGAAACAGAACTTGGCTTAGATTTAAAGATGTTTTAAAATTTTTATAAATTGATTTGAATTTGATTATAGAATGTTAAAAAAGATATGTTATAAGGGGCTGACCCAGTACGTCCAATGTATTTGATGATTGATGTTTTTAGTTTTTAGTTTAAAAATTTTAATAAAAATCTTTATTAAAAAAAATTGCACTGTAAGAGTATGACGAGCCAGAAAGTCCTTCTCCAGTTCACATCTTAAGGGCACAAATTTATGGGAAGCACAAATCTATACATTGCTACTCAGAAGCAAGTAGTGCTGAATTCAGTGGAACTTGCTCCCAGGTAAGTATGCAAAGGATTGCAGCATAACCATGCAATCCTATGCCTGTCTACCTCGAAATAGGTCTCACTGCATTCAGTGAGGCTTGCTGCTGGGTAAATGGATTGCTGCCTAATATAGTAGTATCCACCTTACAATAGGTGAGGCAATAGTAATCTACCTTACAGGGCTGATGTCAGGATTACTAAGAAAATGTATTTGAAGCACTGTGGTCACTTTAAATTTATGATATAAATACTAAGTATTACAATCCATTTCTGTGGTACTTTAAATAAAATTTTTCAAAATTTTGACATTTTTGTTTAAAGTACAAACCTGTCCACTTGCAACTTGAAAAAGGAAGAGAATTATGCTTACCGTGCCAAGCTCTGCCATACATATCCCAAAGATAAGAAACTGCCCTCCTTCCATCTTCCCATGATTTGCTCTGATCATCTCCCTTTAAAATATTTTTTATCTTATAAATATGCAGGAGACCGTTAGAAAGGTAAATAAAGCCAAGAATGACTAAAACCGGTGAAAGTAGGAGTATGCATGGTGCAAACAGCCACAAGGCATATGTTGTGTAATCTGAGAAACTGCCTAGGTAGTTATTTGGATACATCCATTTTTTCAGTAGGTCCATCAGCCAGGTCAGATCTTCCTGTCCGAAAGAATTAAACGACGTTATGCCGAACATCTTCCATTTAAAATGAACGAATTCAGCGGGAAGAGAAGTTTCTTCATGCTGGTCCTAGAGACAGAAGATGCACGTTGTTGGATGCAGTGTGAACAGCAGAGACGGCGTCATAACACTCCGAAAATGTACGCCAACACTGTCTGCCTTCTAGAAACGGTCCAGACGGTCCAGTTCCAGTCTCGTGAGGCACTGAAAATACAGGCTTAGGCATGTCTGCTCAGAAGTCAGTCGCGCAGCGATCAAGCCCAGGTCAGCCTGGATCAATATCCGCATCAGAGAGGCGTCTCTTCCGCCCCCGCCCCCCCCCCATCACTTTGCATCGTCTCTCCCTCCTGCCCCCCGCGGTCCTATGACTTCCTTTCGGCTTGGCCAAAGCGCCTCCCGCCTCTCCAGCCATCCCCCTCACGCAGAAGGGCGCTTCTCCCGCCCCCCTTGTGTAAGATTGCGGCCGAGCTCCCTGCTCGCCCCGCCCTCCGGTTCTGCCCGCGCTCACCTGGCACCCGCTGCGGACCTCCGCTCCGCATCAGAGGGCTCTTCCGACCATGGGAGCTGGGCACCTACGCGCTGTCCCCGGAGATCCGCCGGGGAGTCCGGGGGTCTGTTCTGGGGCGAGACAAAGGCCCCGCCGCCGGCTCCGCTGGCCCCTGCGCTGTTCAAGGAGAGCCGCAAGCGGGGAATCTGCAGAGTGGATGCCGCGCGGCGCACCGGCACCGCATAAACTGCAATGCAGTGAGACGTTCCGCGTCATCGCCGAGGAGCTGCGGAAAGGGGAGGAGGAGGCCTGACCAGACTTCTCTCGCCAAAGTGGCTCATCGGCCCAGCTAGGCA